CGAACATCGTTCATTGCGGCACCCTATCTGATGACACAAGTAACACATGCCCGAACCTATGCAGGTCGACCACTTGCTCCAGTGGACGACCGCGACTGCCTAAAACTCTGCACCTAACCTCAGCATTGCACGCTCGGCCGCCCCACCAGATTCGTGCAATGTAACGTAGACAGCAGTGTTCAAACACCGACAGTCTATATTTATCCTGTTTTCTTAATGGTCACGTTTCTGCGCCATATAGCAGAACTGGTCGAACTGCTGCAGCATATACTCGACCCTTCACAGACAACCGAATGTCTCGACGGCGCCACAGATGTCTCAAGTTGGCAAATGCAAACCAAGCCTTTTGTATACACGCCGACACTACATCTGTGATGCGTCCGCCGGGTGAGATATAGCTACCCAGATAGCAAAATGTGTCTACTTGCTCTATTGCTTACCCAGTTAGGTTGAGGCTGGGTGCAGGATCCACCCAGTCTTGTAGTAACATTTTACACTTTGAAGGTGCAAAACGCATGCCGAACATAGCAACACTAGCACTCAAACCATCCAGAAACGCTTGCAACTTGCGTGGATCTTAACTTAGTAGCACAACGTCTTCTGCATACTGTAGATCAGACAGTCTGGACTCGGCGTCGGTTATTATTGTACAGGTTTATGTATACTAGGGACCAAAAAGCCATATCGCAGTTTTTGGAATTTACTCACTTTTTTAATTCCCAAGGGGGTGCGATTTAGAAGGAGATTGAAGGTATTTTCAGTTTCCGAAATCATTGGTCACGTTACACCGAGGTTTGTGGTCGGATCCTGGCTACCTATTTGACCGACCACTGAGAAGGGAGTCGAAGGAGATAAGCCTACATAAGGGAAGTTCCCTAGTGTGCATTGCCACTATTTCAGCGGCTTAAAGCCGTGATCACGTTCAGTACAGAATAGGCAGTTGGGAAAACTTAGGTAACGTGGCCTTGCATGTTTAAAGTTCTCATGTCACATCATTGTTTCATCTCTTTCAGTTAAAGTTTAACGCTGCCTGCCTCGGTTAGCATCGGAAGCTGAGAAAGTCTATTCGGTGGTATGTATGGCCAGCAAGAAGGCCTACAACTAGGTGCTACAACGACAGAACTGTAAAACGCAAACTCTAATTGATGAATGTCATAATGTTAATAAATCAGCGATGTCGGTAGAGAATTATACTCACCAACGTTTCGATTACCGTGGATGACGTTTCTTAAGGCAGGTTTTACAATCACTCAATTCTCTACATTATAACATTCACAATAAAACATCACGTGGCGCATCGAATCTTCAATCACTTCTAACATTTTTTGGTCCTCATGTGTTAAACATGATCACCAAACTCTAATTTGATGGAAGTTGTAATTATCAAGGTGTATTTTTTGTGAATGCGTACACAAACACCGTTTTCGTCTGTGATACATGACCGTAACTATAACTGGTTTTCGCTACCATTGACCGTCTTAGTCAGCGCACTGACTGTCTTGTGTCAGGGCACATTTTCAGGTAAACAAAGAAGCAGGGCAACAGAAATACGTCATAACAGACCATAGTTCTGATTGTACAATCTCAGCATATCAAGTTCACCGCGATTACAGAAAACCAGCAAAATAAGAATAGATGACTGTCTGATGGAGTGATTCAGATAACATATCTATGTACAAAAAAAATCAACCGTACAAGACGTGTGGGCAAACACATGCAAGCATGGATCAACCAGTCACACCGATAGACGGCTTGGGTTTGACGCGAAGCGACCGTCTGGCTGAGCCGGTGGACGAGCGTGGAACGCATCTGCCCACCGGTGGGGTTTTACTGTTTCGGTCGACTTTTCGTCGTTTTCTCGGTTGCTCATCTGTTACGCATTCGTCCTCATCCATCGGGGATGTTGTTGTTGGCTGATTTAGTTGCGCAGACAGCAAATCGTTATCGGAATCAGATGATGACGAGTTATCCGTCAACGGCCGATCGACAAGTTTAGACAGGGGTTGAACCGTCTCCATCTTCTCAGTTATGCGAATGTGTGTACCACTGGTGCCAATCGTATGAACCCCGGCCGAACGAGACAACTTGCGAAGAAGCCATGCTTTGTGCTTGGTTTTACGATACTTCTTTCTACGGTCCCGTTGTGCCTGAAGTTTAATATAATTCGTGAACAATTTTGGATAGAATATACCTACCGAAATGAGCGAGATCAATTGGAGATGAAGGTTTAACAGTTAGAATCGAATTATATTATTTATATGAATTCCTGTAAGAGGCGTGAGCTGAAAAGCTGAGGAGCTGCTCACTGGCTGAGTGGGTAGTATGTTTGTCTTCTACCTGGGAGGTCCCGGTTTCGATCCCCGGTTGGGTCGATGGATTCGCGTTGCTGTTGACACCCAACCAGGTTGAAACAGCTGTTGTACTCCCAGCATTTTAGCTCACGCTTCATTTACACGACGAATCGATCATATAAACAAGTCAAATCCTCCATTAATACCATACGACAAATTTAACAGTTCTTCTGGAACTAAATGTTCATATCAAGAGATAGGTAGACGGAGTCGGAATTTATCCAGGTATGTACGTGGAAAATACGAGCAACGCCAACCTGGATCGGCTTGACACTTGATGAACTCAAACAAATCCGACCGGAATGAGAAGCGATTCACTGCGATCCGTAGTTTGAAAAATACGCTAGCGCCGAAAATTCTACATTTGTGTAATATGATCATACAGCCTACCGCAACAAAAGAAGTACG